GGTTGGGTCATGCGGGTGGCAACCACTCGATGCATCCCTTTCACTTCGACGCTTCTCTCTCTCTCTCTCTCTCCCTCCCACTCTATCTGAACAAAAAATGGAAAAATGTTCTCAGATGAGGATTAAAAAAAAAAAAAAGACAATATAGAGAATGATTATGTTGAGGTTAGGAATAGTGTTAGTGTTGATAGACAAGGGCAAATGTTTATGCTAACTATTAAAGAAGATCTCAGGAAGCCTTTGGTTAATGGACTTTAATTTTCCAAGTCCCAAATGATGAGATAAATTTATCATATTCAAAAAATGAAAACAAATATATTAAAAATTAATTTATTCAAGTCCCGTTATTTTGACTCCAAGTTACCACAGAGAAGCTATTTAGCTTCCAATGCAAATTTGTTTATACATAGAGAGTGTGAAAATTAAGCAGATACAAACATTTGACTTTACATGATAGTTACATTTCCTACTATAAATGAATAAGGAGACTCATCGGGTTTTATATATCATTCTAAATTGGTCGATTGAATCATCCTTGACTCCTCTCCCCTCCTTCTCTCATATCCAACAATCAATCCATCAGAAACTTTTGTAAGACTTAGTTCAAAATATATCCAGAATCTGACCCATATTTAATACCTTCACCACTAGTGTGAGCCAACATCATGCATTGTATGGACTACTATAACAAGCCTCTTAACTGTTCTCTCTTGCCCAAGTACCATCTATTTTATATACAGCAGCTACAGTGATTTTAAAATATAATGTACAATATGCCATTCCTTTACTCAAAGTCTTCAATGCCTAGCTCACTTTGGGAAAAAAATAAAAACCTACACATCTTACAGGGCTGACTCAAAGGTGCCTTTCAGAGTTCAACTCCTGTTCTCCTTGCTGTGTCACATAGTCCAGGCATATTCCTACCTCAAGGCCTCTACACTTGGTCCCTCTGCTCGAAATGTGCTTTCCCCAAATAGCTACATAGCGTTTCCCCTTAGTTCCTTCAGGCCTCTTCTCAATGTCACCTTACCAGAAAGTCATTTCCTATTCTCTTTGTTGAGAGATCATAGAATGTAACAGATAAAGCTTAGAAGCAGCTCAGAAAAAATGAAGACCAATATAAACAGATGTTCATAGCATCTTATTTGTAATAGCCTCAAACTAGAAACAAACTACGTGTGCTTTGACAAGTGAGTGATTAAACAAATTGTGGCACAACCATACCATGGAATATCATTTATAAATAAAAAAGAATGAACTATTGATACATGCACCAATCTGAATGACTCTCCGGAGGATTATGCTGAGTGAAAACAGCCAATCTCAAAAGATGACATACTTTATGATTACATTTATACAACATTCTTGAAATGACAAAATTATATAAATGGAGGATAGATTAGTGGCTACCAAGGTTAAAGTAGGGGTGTTTATTTTATTTATTTATTTATTTATTTTTTTATCCTCACCCAAGGACATTTTTCCATTTTTTGTTCAGGTAGAGTGGGAGGGAGAGAGAGGAACAGAGAGAGAGAGAAACATCGATGTGAAAGGAACACATCGAGTGGCTGCCACCCGCACGACTGACCAGAGCCAGGGACAAACCACAGCCGAGGTACGTGCCCTTAGCAGGAACCGAACCCGGGTCTCTCAGGACCGCAGGCCGGCGCTCTAACCGCTGAGCCAAACCGGCCAGGGCTAAGAAGGGGTGTTTAAAGGGTGCTATGGGCTGAATGTTTGTGTATCTCCCACTCAAATTCATATGTTGAATATGAATTATTGAGATGGATATGTTTGGTATCTGGATTATACAATGGTTATAATATTGTACAATTGTTTTGTAAGCGGTTACCTTTGGGGGAAACTATGTAAAGGGTATATGAAATTTCTCTGTATTATTTCTTACAATTGCATGTGAATCTTCAATAATCTCAAACTAAATTTTAATTAAATTAAAAAAAAAAAGGCTTGGACATAGGAGCTAACCTGATGGTTTCAAATCCTGGGCTGACCACTTATTAAGTGTGAGACCTTAACTTACACCTCTGTGGCTCTGTTCCTTCATCTATGAAATGGAGGTAATAATAGGACCTATACTCATAAGGTTATTTGAGGTAAATTAATTAATATATGTAAAAATCTCAGAATTGTGAATGGCACAGAGTGATATGTTATCTATTATTAGTGATAATTCCTCAGAGAACATTGTCTGTTACATTGACTATTATAATATATGATCCTTATTCACAGCAATATACTGAATACCTAAAACACTATTTGGCACATGATAAGCACTTAATACTTATTGAATTAACAAATGGATGCCCCTGAAAGATGTACTTGCTTTGAGTGTACTAATAAAATCACTCTTCTAAATCTCCAAGTTTGAGAACACCACTAGTCAAACTTTCTTTTTGTATCTAATTGATTATAATTAACCACAAAAAATTTTCTCTGTATTAGTGTGTTCTTCTTATCCTTCTTTTTCTACCCATCTCATAAAAACTTTCTTGGCTTAAAACCCATTAACATTACATCCAAAGTGATAAAAAAAGCTGATGGATATATTTTTTATCTCTCCTTTATTACTTCTACTACACATATAAATTATAGTAATAATGTCACTTGTGTGAAGATTTTGCAGGTATCTTCAAATTAATTTGAACTTTTACATATGTATAAAAATTGTTCAGAATTAATGGAAAGAATTAAAATATTCTGTTACAAGTTATAACTATATATTAACTATACATATAAAAACTATAACTTAACTATAACTATATAATGTATATTGACTATGTATAATGTATAAAGTACATATTAAACTGCTATCATGTGATAAACCTCAAGGTGATGCTATGTAACATAATTTAATACTGTAAAAGGCATAAATATAATGAGAAATACACAATGAACACAAAATAATTTTCCTAACTGAATATTTTGAATTATAGTCATTTAGACTAAGTCCACTTTAAGATATTTTTCTCCTCAAATTTTCCTCTACAACTGAAAGACAATTTATCTAAATTATCAGTAGGAAATAATTTCAAATCTACAAAATATTCCCCAAATAAAAAGAGTACAGGGAACTCATATACATACATATACATATATGTATATGTACACACACACACCTTTTATGCAGATTTTCCTGCTAACATTTTGACCTCATGTGCTTTATTATTTGTATTTGCTAGTACTGTCTTACTCTATGTATGTGTGTATTTTTCTACTATTTCCCTATGATTAGATTGAAATTATGCATTCTGAGCCAGAATAGGTCATAGGTAGTGTTGTGGCCTTCTCAGGGAACCTCATCGCGAAGCACAAATGGCCCTCTGACCTTCACTGATGAAAATTTTGATCACCAGGTCAGGTGTTGCCTGACTTCTCCATTGCATTACCACTGTTTCTCTTCTCTACAACTGCTTAATGTTATATAGAGAGAATATGCAAATATCCTGCTCCTCATCAACGTGTCCTCTTAGATGTTGCATCCATTGATGATTTTTGCCTAATCTAATTTTTCCCTGGTAGTTGAAAATTAATGGTGGTTTTTTCCCCCCAACACCAGTATACCCTCCACATTTGCTAATCAACGTTTGGCATTTCACTGTAAGCAAGATACCTTCCCTTCTCTCTCCCTCTTGTCTATTATTAGTATGTCTCATAAAGCTCTTTTTTCCCCCAATGGTCTATACTTGTATTTAATTATTTCAATGCTCAAAATGTCCCAGATTTGGCTAGTGGAATACCCCTCAAGATAGCTGGCATACAGTTATGATAAACCAATCATTATTGTTTTGAGCACTTCATTTGTGACATTACAAGATGTTCATCTTGTATCTACTTGGCCCTAAACCTGGAGCCAGTCAATTCAATGAGAAGTCCTGGTTTCTTTATTGGGTGGTATAGATTGAATTGTGTTCCACAAAACGTATGTTTAAGGCTTATGCCCTGGGTACCCGTGAATGTAGGCTATTTGGAAAGAAAGTTGTTGTTTTAAATTTTTTTTCTTTATTGATTTTTTTTTTATCCTCACCTGAGGACATTTTTCCATTTTTTTGTTCTGATAGAGTGGGAGAAAGAGAGAGAGAGAGAGAAACATCGACGTGAAAGGGACCCACTGAGTGGCTGCCACCCACACAATCCAACCAGGGCCGGGGACAAACTGCAACGGAGGTACTTGCCCTTAGCGGGAACCAAACCCAGGTCTCTCTGGACCACAGGCCAACACTCTAACCGCTGAGTCAAAATGGCCAGGGCTTCTTTATTAATTTTAAAGAGAGAGAAAGGGAGAGGGAGAGAGAGAAACATCAGTGAGAGAGAACATCGACAGGCTGCCTCCTACATGCCCCCCACTGGGGATTTGGCCCACAACCTGGGCATGTGCCCTGATCAGGAATGGAACCGGCTACCTCTTGATGCATGGGTTGATACTCAACCACTGAGCCACACCGGTCAGGTGGAAATCAAGTTTTTAAGATGTATTCAAGATGAGATCACACGGGATTAGGGTGGACCCTAATCCAACTATTGGTGTCCTTATAGTAAGAAATGTGGACACAGACATACACGGAGAATGTCATGTGACAATGGAAGCAGAGACTAGAGTTATGCTGCCACAAGCCAAGAAAGATCAAGGATTTCAGGCAACACAAGTTAGGAGAGAGGCATGGAACTAATTTTCCTTTTGTCCCTCCAAGAATTAACCTACCCAGCCAACACCTTCATTTTGAACTTCTGCACACCTGAACTGTGAAAGAATAAATTTCTGTTTCTTCAAGTTTGTGAAGAAACTTGAATTTGTTATGGCACCTCTGGTAAACTAATAGAGTGGGGAATGGTGCTATCTTTGGCATTACTACTTGAGTGACTGCTTCTTTGCCAATTTGGCAACAAAGCTAGGATATATATGCACTAATATTCACATTATATACACATATACAAACACAAACACAATAATGATACACATAAAGGCATATATTTACAGATACCTGTAGCCCAATCCATCTCCACAGTGTTCTTTCCTGTCTTCTTTCATTCTTTATATGTCTTCTTTTTCCCCTTGGTGAGAACAAAGGTTCCTAACAATATCAATTCACTTAGTCATTTGTTCAAAATAATTTCAGAATTAGTTTTCCCATTCCACTAAAATAAATAAACCTACCAGAAGGGTTCAGAATTTGTTTGTAACACTTTTCTTCCTGCCCTACTCTGCCCCAAACTGAGAATGGTACAATTTTGTGTTCGCAAATTACTCGGGTTATTCCTTTTTCCTTCATTGATTTTTTATTTTTAATCCTCACCCGAGGACATTTTTCTATTTTTTGTTCAGATAGAGCAGGAGGGAGAGATAGGAAGAGAGAGATAGAGAGAAACATCGATGTGAAGGGACACATTGAGTGGCTGCCACCCGCACGACCAACCAGGGCTGGGGACAAACTGCAACTGAGGTACGTGCCCTTAGCGGGAACCGAACCCAGATCTCTCTGTACCGCAGGCCGACGCTCCAACCACTGAGCCAAACCGGCCAGGGCTGATTTTTTTTTTTTACCTTTAGTGTGGTTGTAGTATTTTTTTTACTTTTGACCATCAAGTTTCAGTCTGCTTCAGCATGGGATATTAACATGCTATCAAAATTCAAAATATACTCCAAAATATACTCCAAGAAGTGTTATGCCCTTCCATGTCTCATCCACCCCATGTTCTTTTCTACCTCGTGTTAAGGTTACTGATTTTATAGTTTTCTGCTTTATCCTCCTGTGTACCTGAATATTTTCTTTTCCCTTGTTCTTACATAAAAGGTAGCACTATATATGTTCTTTTGTGCTTTCCTTTCTGTGTATTATCTCCTAGAAATCACTCCGTATCTGTTTATTCAACAAAACTTGTATGATTGGTTATTTACATAATTTCTAATATTTTATTATGAATAATGCTGCAATAAATAATATTAGCACAATTATTTTAGTATGCCACAAGAACTAGATTCCTGGAAAAACTGTAACTCTTATCTGTGTAGATTTTTACCTTTACTCTCATGTGTATTTAGGTGTGGGGGGGTATTGTGAGGAATATTTAATTACATGAGCAAACATTAAATATTAAGAAACAAAAATCATATTGTGAAATAGAGTATGATGCAAATTATATGAAAACTCAAAGAGACACACATATGCACAAAAATTAACATGTGAGGGAACTGTGAGGATTTTAATATTCTTCTCTGTATCTTTGTATATTTCTCAAGTTTAATGTAATCAGCATGTATTACGTTTACAATAAAAAATAAAAACAAATTTTATTTGTAAACCATAAGGAGGAATTCTATTTCTGGCAGTAAAATTGACATAGGCACTATAACACAGTCCTTTGGCTGAAAACAACCAAAGATGAGTTAAAATAAAAAGAAAACAAAATAATCTTTTTGGGCTGGTACAGAATACTCAGATGGCTAAAGCAAGGTGAAAATGAAAATATATGGAGGTAAGCAAACACTCAAATGTCTTTCATTTTGGGGATATGCCAACCCTATGAACTGAGCTTCAGTTTTCATAGCCCTATACAGAATAAGCAGTGGTGTGCTGGAGCTGGCTTGTGAAAAGCTAACTATACATATATTTTTCCAAATTCATGTTCTGTGATTTCATGCTGGTAGCTTGAAATCAGCCATAATATGAAACTGAAAAATATTACAAATCAGGACCTTTTTTTCACTCTAGAGAGTCAGTTTTAAAATATTAACCATAGCCCTGGCCAGTTTGGCTTAGCGGTAGGAGCATCAGCCTGTGGTCCAGAGAGACCCAGGTTCGGTTCCCACTAAGGGCGTGTACCTCGGTTGCAGTTTGTCCCTGGCCCTGGTTGGTCGTGCGGGTGGCAGCCACTCGATGTGTCCCTTTCACGTCGATGTTTCTCTCTCTCTCTCTCTCTCCCCCTCCCTCCTGAACAAAAAATGGAAAAATGTCCTCGGGTGAGGATAAAAAAATATATATATATATATTAACCATGCCCTGGCCAGTTTGGCTCAGTGGTTAGAGCACCAGCTGAGGACCAAAGGGTCATGGGTTCGATTCCTGATCAAGGCCATACACTTGGGTTGCAGTTTCAATCCCTGGCCCAGGTTGGAGTCATGCGGAAGGCAACCAATTAATGTGTCTCTCTCACATCAATGTTTCTTTCTCTCTCTCTCTCCCACTGAGCCCAAGGTTTAGGATAGAAATCCTAGGTATACTGAAGATAGGAAGACTAACTGGAGATCTCCACATAAAGCTGGGACTCTAAAGAGCTTATACTTAGTATAAGAGTAGAATGCAATTATGTTGGAGAAAGAATCAGTGAGGAAATTTGCCCGTTTCAAACTTGATGCTGGGTGAAAGTAAAAATATCTTCCCTGAAAATTTAACTATAAGCCTATCCTCATGAAAGTTTATGGATCTGGAATTCATGCTACTTATGCAGGTCACAAAACTTTAAGCCTGAAATTTATTTCACTGTGTTCCAGGTTGACAGTATCCCCAGGCTTTTGGCAGATTCAAACGCAAATTCTGTCTTTGAAAAACGTATCTTCATCTTATCCTCAGAAATGACAACAAATAAGGATTATGAGCTCACATACAAAAAATAAGGCAGCTTGAGTAAGAGCTAGCAAAAACAACAGACAACAAAATTAGAACCGTGAAAGTTTTAAATACTTTATGAGTCACAAAATATTTAAAGAAACAAAAGCACTGCAAATTAGAGAAAGGAATGAGAGCTTATCAAAATGACAAAACAAGAAGCAGATTTGAGGGGAAAAAATAAAGTTTAAGTAATGAACATTAAAACTCAATAGACACTGTAGGCTAGTTTGGCTCAATGGTTACAGCATTGGCCTGTGGACTAAAGGGTCTCAGGTTTGATTCTGGCCAAGGGCATGTACCTTGGTTGCTGGGGTGGTGTGGGAGGCAACCAATTGGTGTGTGTCTCTTTCATATTGATGTTTCTCTCTCTCCCTCCCTCCCACTCTATCTGTAAATCAATGGAAAAATATCCTCAAGTGAGCATTAAAAATAACAAAACTCAATAGATAGATAAAAGGATATTAGACACTGCTGAAAACACAATTAGAAGCATGGGAAGGTAGGTCTGAAGAAATTCCAGAATGTAGCAAAAAAGACAAAGATAGAATAACTATGTAACAGGTGAAGAGATGTAATAGAATGATTAGGGATACATATGTGGTTAAGCTATAAAGAAAAGAATAGAATAACCATAAATTAAAGATAAATGGTTACCTTCGGGGTGGAGAGAGACATGGAATCACAGGGGCACACAGACATTCAAAGATACTGGTAATGTTCTGTTTCCTAAGATGGGTTGTGGGTACACAGGTATTTTATTTTTAAATAAAGTTATTATTTTGGAATACTTTTAGAATTACAGAAAAATTCCAAACATAATAATGAGAATTTCATATACCTCTCATTCAGTTTTCCCTAATTTTAATATTTTATATTAGCATGGTACATATGTCCAAACTAAAAGAATAACTTTGGTGTATTACTATTAACTAAAGTCCAGGCTTAATTCAGATTTAGTCAGTTTTTATACCAATGTCTTTTTTTGTTTTGGACCCAGTTCAGCAAATCACTTTGTATTTAGTTGTCATGTCTTCTTAGTCTCTTCCTGTCAGCGATCAGCTCTTAGTCTTTCCTTGTTTTTCATGACCTTGACACACAGTTCTGAGAAGTACTCGTCAAGTATTTTATACAATGCTCATCAGTCTGGATTTGTTTGATGTTTTCCTCATAATTTCATAGAGTCTATAGGGGGTTTGGATAAAGAATACAAGATACTCCATACTCACGTTGCTTTTTTCCTGCCCCAGCCACAGAATCAGACATTTCTCAAGGAACCCTGGATCTTTTTACTGAAGAATGGTATTTACAAACCCAGATCTGGGTGCTGGGTGTGTTTGTTGCTATTGGAGTATCACTGCTTCTAAGGCTTCTCAGTGGACAGAGACAGAAAATAGATGTATGTATACTAATCCATATATAGATATATCTGTCATTATTTCTGCATCTACCCATTTATATATATTAAGCTGAGCATAAGTTTATACTCTAATCTCCAACTGTAATCCAGTACTGACTACAGGGTTTATTCTAGCTCTCTCCCTTGTTTGTCTTGTAACATCCCTCTCTGAAAGCACCTATTTTCTATATTTAAAAATATCCTAGGAAGAAACCTGCAAGCTTTACTCATACAAATTTAGGATTTAATTTTTAATGGTTTACTAGAGAAGTATTAAAACCGAAAAACTACATTGTTGTGAGAATAAACTAGAAAACTATCTTTATAGGCTATATCAATTGTGTGATTATTTGGTCTTAATAGATAAGCTATGATAGCTACCCAGTATCATAGACCTAAAGGATTCATTTTCAGAAGGAGAGCTCCTCAAATTGATTGACAGATAAAATAATAAAATTCTTCAGGTTGCTTATTTGCACTCTCTCTTATAAAACAAAAACAAACAAACCAAAAAAAAAATTTAAAAACACACAGTTTAGAAGTTTTCATTTATTTACATTTAAATAGTGTGTTAAATCTGTACAGATTTCACATACAATTTGAAAATCATGTCCCCAAAGGCAGGGTCATCTGGGAAGGTGGTTAACTATATAGGTCTAAGCAGCACAATTACTTGGTGGAAGTATCATCATCAGTTAAGGACTTTTAGTTTAGCTTTCTCCCCCTGGTGGTAGTGTCTGCATTGATAACATTAAAAAAAAAAAAAACCTACTAGGATAGTAGTATCTTAATACTTATGGTTGCTACAGTCAATTATAGGTAGGAAATTTTGGGATAGAAGTAGATTTAAGTGAAATAGAAGCAGATCTCAAAACTCTTCTAAAAGAAGCACTTGTTTCCTATAGTTCCTCTTTTTTTCTAAAATGCAATTACAATCATTACATCATTGTAAATTACATGCTGGGGTTATCTCAGTAGGTATCTGCCAAATGTAAAACTTACAGAAGGTCTTCAATGTAATAATGATGTTTTATCATTTTAATTACAAACTCTTTAAAAAACTCCCTAA